AAAAATAAGAAAGCTCTTTGCTCTACACCACAGTTTTCTCAGCTCATTAGACCCCTCTCATTTGCAGAGCTGGATGAAGTTTGTGGGGGGTGTATGCCAGGGTCAATCTGTGTCAAAGTGTTGGTATGTTAAGTGGATTTTGGTCTATGTTTGCAAATGCCCAGCAAGCCCTGCTCTTACCTTGTGCAACTGGTAATACTGGAGAGCACCCAAGCCACCCTGCTCCTCTGCAGTCCACAGCACCAAGCGCAGAGTCCTCTTTGGGCGCAACCCTGGGCAAAATGAGTAAAATAAAACATGGAATCCATCAGTTGTATTAAGATTTTGGAAAAACTGGTCGAGATCTGCCTCTCTATACTGGAAAGATGACAGAGTTAGAGACACACATTCCTTGCGGGGGTTGGCAAACTCATTTAGAGGACACAGCGAAGTAGTAGCCTCAGGGCTGATCTCCAGGGAAAGGAAGAAGGAGGAAGAGGTTGTGACAGATGACGTCTGCAAGACATGGAAAGAGAGAGCGTCCAATCACACTAAACTGGATGTCTTGTCCAGTAGACCCACTGCATGGCCAAGTTCAGTGGGACAGGAGATAATGTCCAGAAGAGGAAGTTAGGGAGTCTCTGTGGAGATCACAGAAATGAGTGGTTTGTCTCGACTCTACGGTAAAGCGAGTAGGAGATTACTTCTCAGCCTAATTCTACCAGGATAGCTAGCCAGCCATGCTGTGAGCAATAATGTAGTAACTGTTCATAGCCATTCTCTTTTGGTACCTACTTAGAACTACAAGGTTAGTCACTTGAGGTAAATGAAATTTAATTGAAGATTTACAATGGTAAATCTGGGGGCTTGTCAGCAGGAAGCTATTCTCCGAACCCAAAGACTTAGCCTCGCTGGTGATTCAAATCAACTAGGAGATCTGAGAGAGAAAAATGGGCAATCTCTTCCCATGGATTTTACAAACTTTGAAAAACCAGTTAAGGGTCAGCTATGAGCTGGTTGCAACTCAAGGGCAGTGAATAGCTGCAAAAACAACTCAGTGACAGTCACAATGACTTGGGAAATACTAATTTGTATCCTGAAGTTAGAACCATTTTTTAAAAATTATTATTAATTTTAATGAACATTTACAGATACTTTAGATTTCCATTTATTCATTGTTGCACTTTTCTCCCTGCCAACTCTTCCTCCCTTCAGTTCACTCTTCTCTTTGAAAAGTAAAAGAAAAATTCTTCCATTGTTATACAATCCCTCCCCCCCAAGTCTACTCCTCTATGTAGCCTTCATTCTGGACTCCTGTCATGACAATAATACCTAATCTTAGATTGCTTTTAAACAGTTCTCTTCCTCATCTGCTTCAATGCAGTATACAAAATTTATCCATCTTGCTCAGTCTCCTCCTAACCCTGATGTCAGTCCTGTTTTAGAACAGTGGCACTACGCAGTATTTGTTCTTTTGTAGCTGAGATATTTCAATCAGTATAATTTTTTAAGTGACTAAGTCAGCTCCAAAAAATTTAGCTACAAGGAGACTTTGTTTCTAAACTTTCTATATCACACATAAAAAAACACATACTTATACAAACATCTACACACACACACACACACACA